GTAGTGATTTTCCCAGTTCCAGAATAGATGATCTAAATAGATGTACACAGCAACATGAACTTCCACTTACCAAGGCTGACTTAGCTACAGCCACTGCTGAGTGCACAGTCAGCCCACAAACCAGTGGCTAGTTGATTACTTCCATCATGGAAAGGGTAGCATTTTGTTCTTACTGGAATAGACATTTATTCTAGATATGAATTTGCCTTCCCTGAGTGTAATGCTTCTGCCAAAACTACCATCCATGGACTTACAGAATGCCTTATCCAGTGTCATGGTATCCCACAAAGCATTGCCTCGTATCAAGGCACTCAGTTCACAGCAAATGAAGTGTGGTGATGGGCCCATGTTCATGGAATCCACTGGTCTTACCATACTCCCCTTCATCCTGAAGCAGCTGGCTTGATGGAATGATGGAATGACCTTCCAAAGACACAATTATGGCACCTGCTAGGTGACAATACCTTGCAAGGCTGGGGCAGTGTTCTCCAAGAGGATGTATATGCTCTAAACGAGTGTCTGATATATGGTGCTGTTTCTCTCATAGCCAGGATGCATGGGTCTAGGAATCAAGGGGTTGAAATGGGAGTGGCACCACTCACTGTTACCCCTAGTGACGCACTTGCAAAATTTTTGCTTTCTGTTTCTGTGACCCTATGTTCCTCGGCTGTAGAGGCCTTACTTCCAAAGGGAGAAATGTTCTCACCAGAAGACACAACACTTGATTCCATTGAACTGGAAGTTAAGGATGCTACCTGGCCACTTTGGGCTTCTCCTGCCTCTGGATCAACAGGCAAAGAAGGGAGTTATTGTATTGGCTGGTATGACTGAGCCTGATTACCAAGGGAAATCGGATTGATATTACATAATGGAAGTAAAGAAGTATATGTCTGGAATACAGGAGATCCCTCAGGATGTCTATTAATACTACCATGTCCTGTGATTAAAGTTAATGGAAAACTACAGCAATCTAATTCTGATATGACTACTAATGGTCCAGACCCTTTAGGAATGAAGGTTTGGGTCACCTCACCAGGCAAAGAACCATGACCAGCTGAGGTGCTTGCTGAGGGCAAAGGGGATACAGAGTAAGTGGTGGATGAAGGTAGGTCTAAATACCTGTTAACGACCACATGATCAGTTGCAGAAACAAGGACTGTAATTGTTAAGAGTATTCCTTCTTTTTATGTGTGCATCAAATATTTTTGTTTTCTTCACTTATATAAGATGTAAATGGGGCTAGTGCATTTTCAGTTGTACTCATGTTAGTTGTGTCATGGTGGGCACAAGTATGACTTTGAAATTGTCTTTATTTAGTGATTGTATATGGTTTGAGGAGATGCGTGCAGGTGCCAAGTTGACAAGGGGTGAACTGTGATGGTTAAGGTAGTGTGTCAGCTTGGCTGGGTCATGATTTTCAGTGGTTTGGCAGTTATGTAATGCTGTAGTTTGGCAGTTATGTAATGATGTAGTTTTTCAGTTATGTAATGATGTAATTTGGCAGTTATGTAATGATGTAGTTATCCTCCATTTTGTGATATAATATAATTACTTCCATGATGTGAACTGATCAGCCAGTCAGTTGTAATGGGTCTCTTTGGGTGTGTGACCCGCATCCAATATATATGGATATTCTGGCAAAGATCACTAGATTTTGCTTGCTCTGGATCCTGCGTCCACCTTGACATCATCTGACCTCCAGTTTTTAGGACTTGAGCCAGTGACCTGCCATATTGCCTGCAGATCTGGGGTTTGTCAGCCCCTGTAGCTACCTAAGTCAGGAGAAGCCTCCAGCCTGACACCTGGTCCACGGACTTGGGACTTGCCAGCCTTTGTAAATGCATGAGCCATTTCCTTGAGATAAATCTCTTCTCTGTCTTTACATATATGTATATATACATATACATATATGTGTATGTGTGTGTGTATATATATATACATATATGTACGTGTTTGTGTATATATATATATGCAAAGGCATTCAACTGTGTGGATCATAACAAATTATGGATAACATTGCAAAGAATGAGAATTCCAGAACACTTAATTGTGCTCTTGAGGAACCTGTGCATAGATCAAAACGCAGTCATTTCAACAGAACAAGGGGATACTGTGTGGTTTAAAGTCAGGAAAGGTGTGAGTCAGGGCTGTATCCTTTCAGCATACTTATTCAATCTGTATGCTGAGCAAATAATCCGAGAAGCTGGACTATATGAAGAAGTACGGGGCATCAGGATTGGAGGAAGACTCATTAACAATGTGCACTATGTAGATGATACAACCTTGCTGAAAGTGAAGAGGATTTGAAGCACTGGCTGTTGAAGATCAAAGACCACAGCCTTCAGTATGGATTACGCCTCAACAAAGAAAACAAAAATCCTCACAACTTTAACCGATAAGCAACATCATGATAAACGGAGAAAAGATTGAAATTGTCTCAGTCATCTAGTGCTACTGTAACAGAAATACCACAAGTGGATGGCTTTAGCAAAGAGAAGTTTATCCACTCACAGTCCAGTAGGCTACAAGTCCACATTCAGGGCATCAGCTCCAGGGGAATGCTTTCTTCATCAGCTCTGAGGGAAAGTCCGTGTCATCAATCTTCCTTTGGTCTGGGAGCTTCTCTGTGCAGGAACCTCAGAGCCAAAGGACGCGCTCTGCTTCCGGCACTGCTGTTTTGGTGGTATGAGGTCCCCATGTGACTCTTTTCTTTTCTCTCTTTTATATCTCAGAAGAGATTGGATTAAGATACTATCCAATCTTGTATACCTCATCAGTGTAACTGCCGCTAATCCATTTTATTAGATTATAGTGATTGAATTACAACACATAAGGAAATTACATCAGATTACAAAAGGGTACACAGTTATACAATACTGGGAATCATGACCTAGCCAAGTTGACAGATATTTTTGGGGGACACAATTCAATCCATGACAGAAATTATCGAAGATTTCATTTTACTTGGATCCACAGTCAACGCCTATGGAAGCAGCAGTCAAGAAATCAAAAGATGCAATCTGCTGCAAAAGACCTCTTTAAAGTGTTGAAAAGCAAAAATGTCACCTTGAAGACTAAAGTGCACCTGACCCAAGCCATGGTGTTTTCAGTGGCCTCATCTGCATGTGAAAACTGGGCAATGAATAAAGAAGACTGAAGAAGAATTTATGGCTTTGAATTATGGTGTTGGTGAAGAATATTGAATATACCATGGACTGCCAAAAGAACGAACAAATCTGTCTTGGAAGAAGTACAACCAGAATGCTCCTTAGAAGCAAGGACATCATGCTTGGTAAAGTTAGAGGGTCAGCGAAAAAGAGGAATTCCTTCAATGATATGTATTGACACAGTGGCTGCAACAGTGATCTCAGACATAAAAACAATTGTGAGGTTATTGCAGGACCGGGCAGTGTTTCGTTCTGTTGTGCATAGGGTTGTTATGAGTCGGAACTACCTCTATGGCACCTAACAACAGCAGTGTATACACTTGACCGGTTTTGCTTCTCTAGAGAACCAAGCCTAAGACACTTGGTAAGTTTTGATTGGGACACTTTCATCTTTTACATTTTGACTTTTACTTTGTTAAGTGCTGGATATTTTTGTTTTTTTGTAAATATTCCTTATTCTGAGATGCAATTAAGTTACTTGGGAACAGATCCTCTTGTTTTTTGCCTTTTAAACTTTATTAGGTGGAACCAGGGCAGCATTTAGTTTGGGGCCGATTTCTGTCCACTACTGAGGCAAAATTCTTCTGAGTACTTTACCCAATGCCCTCCGAATTAATAAGGTCTTCCAATCTGATAGTCTGACATTCTTATGTGGGAACCTTGTAAATAAGAGATGAAGTCAGGGAGTGCATTGCCTAGAGCCTCATTTTCTTAGTATCTCAGTATATTAGGAAGCATATTTAATTGTGTGTAACAGTCAAATGCAAGGGATTACCAAGTAAGAGGTTTCATTTTTCATATAGTAACTCTAGAGACTCATCGAAGTCATCATGAATTCTTTTTAACTCACTGCTTTTCCATCCTGAGCATGAGGCCTAGAATGGAAGTGTCAAATAAAACGTTTTATATGATCTGAAGTTTGAATGTGAACTCTGGGTTGGAGGTATAGTTTTAGGGGTTATCGATCAGTGTATAGGTGGTAGTGGTTGAGATTATAGGAAAGGATGGTGTTGCTCTAGGAGGGTCAATGCAGTGAAAACAGCAGTAGTGTAAGGATGGAACCCCAGATAACACCAACGTGTTAGAGCCAGGCAGAGGAAGAAGAGATTCTGGAGAGGGAGGTAGAAGGAATCCTAAGTGTGCATTGCCATAAAATTTGTAGTGGATATTTATGTTTTTGGCTATCTAGCACTTAAAGAGTATTCTTGTTTGGGGGGAGTCATTCATTGCGTTAGCCTTGGGGGAGGAAACAGTGTCCTAACCAAACTTTAGTATGGCCTTTAGTATAGTAGAGCTGTTTTAGGCTGGGTTCTCTAGAGAAGCAAACCAGTAAAGTGTATATATAAACATATAGAGAGATTTATTTCAAGGAAATGGCTGACATAATTGTGGAGGCTGGCAAGTCCCAAATCCGTGGGTCAGGTGGCAGGCTGGAGGCTTCTCCTGAATCATGTGGTTGCAGCAGATGACAAACTCAAAATCTGCAGGTTAGGTGACAGGCTCAAGACTCGTGGGAGCTGATGAATCCAAAAATCTGCAGGTGAGGCAGTAGGCTGAAGGCTTCTCACGTCCCAAGAACCAGAGCTCAGAGAATGATGAGACAAATGCAGTATCAGAAAGAGAGAGAGTGAGCTTTGCCAGAACATCCGTATATATAATGGATGCAGGCCACACCTCCCAGGAAACTCCCCTTCCAACTGATTGGCTGCTCAAATCTGATCACAACATGGAGGATGATTATATAATGTCTTCCAAACCACTGAGAATCACAGCCTAGCTAAGTTGACATGTAACATTAACCATCACGAGAGCTAACATCAGGAAGTAGGGGAGGTGCTCACTTTGACAGCACATATACGAAAATTGGAATGATACAGAGATTAGCATGGTCCCTTTGCAAGGATGACATGCAAATCTGTGAAGCGTTCTATATTTTTTAAGAATAATAAACTGACTAATTCCTCAAAAATTAAAAAATAAAAAGAGAGGTAGGAGAGGACCAGATCATATACAGCCATGTAAACCATGGCAGGGACTTTGGATTTTATCCAAGGTGTGATGAGAAACTAGTGAAAGATTCTGAGCAGAGTGTTAACATGCTCTGACTTTTTTAAAAAGAGAAATCTCACTGCTGTATGCAAAACAGACTGTATGAGGACTTGGAGTGAAAACAGACTGGTTCGATAGGATGCTATTGCAACATTACAGGCTAAGAGATAACCGTGACTTGGAGTGGAGTGGTAATGGAAAAGATACATATTTTTAAGGGAAAGTTAACAGAATTTGCCAGTGGATTAGAATGTAAAGTGAAAGAACAAGAGGAATCAAGAAAATTACAAAATTTTTGATTTGAGCAATTAGAAAAGTAGAGATGCCCTTTTTTTGGTTGTTGAAATGGAGAAGACTGGGAAGAATAAGTAAAGGTTTTATTTTGATTTTGTTTTTAATTTTTTCTTTTCTTTTAAAACAATTTTACGCTTCAAAAGTTACAAGAATGTTATAAACAGTTTGTTTTGTCTGATCATTTGAGAGTAAGTTGCCAACATTAGGCCTCATCATCCTGGAACGCTTTAGTTTGTAGTTACTACTACTATCAACAAGGACATTCTCCTACATATACAGAATGCAAGCCTTACAATCAGGAAGTTAACATTGTTAGAGTTTTATCTTAAGGTTGTGTGTCAACTTGGTTGGGCCATGATTTTCAGTGGTTTGGCAGTTATGTAATGATGTAGCTGGGCAGTTATGTAATGATGTAATTATCCTCCATTTTGTGATATAATCACCTCCATGATGTGATCTGATATGATCAGCTAATCACTTGTAAGGGAGGTTTCCTTGGGGGTGTGGCCTGCATACAGTATATGTGGACATTCTGGCAAAGCTCCCTTGCCTGCTGTGGATCCTGCATCTGGCTTATCACCATCTGACCTCTGGTTCTTGGGACTTGAGCTAGTGGCCTGCTGTATTGCCTGCTTATCTTGGAATTTGTCAGCCTCTGCAGCGTGCACGCGCACGCACGCGCACGCACGCGCGCGCGCGCACACACACACACACTTCACTGGTTTTGCTTCTCTAGAGAACCCAGCCTAAGACATCATCTGATCCACAGAACCTATTCAAGTTTTGCCTATAGTTCCAATAATATCCTCTTTAGCAAAATAAATCAGTCTAGAATCATATTTTCCATTTAGTAGTTATGTCTTTTTATTTTATTTTTTTTTATCTAGAACAGTTCCCCAGTATTTTCTTGACTTTCATGAACTTGACAGTTTTGGAGTTCACAAGCCAGTTTATTTTTAGAATGTTCTGCATTTGGGGTTTGCCTGCTCTTCCCCATGATTCAATTCAGGTTATATATTTTTGGCAGGAATATCACAGCAGTGATGTGGTATTTTTCTCAGTTCATCTGATCAGGCACTACATATTTTCACTTTGCCTGTTACTGGTGCTCTTAACATTGATCATTTGACTAAGGTGGTACCTCCCAGATTTCTGTACTAAAAAAGGTACTCTTTTTTTCTTTGTAATTAGTATTTTTTTGGAAGGTACTTTGAGACTAATTTTTCCATTCCTCATCACACTTACACCCAGTAGTTTTAGCATTCATTGATTTTTCTTGGCTGCATTATTACTGTTACTGTATTAATTACTATTGATTGGTCGTATGATAATTTTCTAATTTCATTACCTTGTTATAATTTATTAGGTGACATTCTCCTGTAAGAAGAAGCTTCTTTTGCTTCCCATGTATTGATTCATTTATTTATTTATATCTGTATGGATTCATGGATTCCTCTTTTGTTCTGTGGGCTGTAATTGAGTACTGTCGTAATTTTGATGCTCAAATTGTCCCATATTTGGTCAGTAGGAGCTCTTTCAGGCTAGTTCTTATGTCCGTTTATGTTTCATGATTCTTTGGGTGCTTTCTGGTACTGTTACATGTGCCGTGTTCATCTTACACTTTACCTGCTATATAGCTGGAATCAGCCATATCTCTAAGGAGCTCTCGTTTCTTTAGTGGAGATTGGTATTTAGAAACCAACATCTGGCACCAGCGTACTCACTGTGATTAGGGTGTCACTGCTTCCAGGTTTTCTCAGTTGGCGAAGCCATAAAACATATATAGGAACAAACGTGTATGTGTGTACTGAGGAAGATTCCAAAAATTAACTGGCCTGTAAACTTCAAAACTGTCAATATCATGAAAGTCAAGAATACATTGAAGAACTGTTCCAGGTTGACGAACACTAAAGAAGCACAACAACTAAATGGAAAATATCCTAGATTGAATTATTTTGCTTTGACTTAATCTATAGAATATATACTTTCCATGCAACTTGGCCGCTGATGTTTTTGTCCTTTTTCTGTTCTAGAATTCTATCCAGGATACCACACTACATTTAGTTTTCATGTCCCCTTAGCTTCTGGATTTTGGCTTTTGACAGTTTCTCAGACTTTCCTTATTTTTGATAAACCTTAATAGTTTTGAGGAGTATTGGTCAGGTATTTTGTAGAATGTCTCCCAGTTTGGTTCGGCCAGATATTTTTTTCATAATACTTGGGTTATGGGATTTTGGGAGGAAGGCCACAAAAGTAAGTGCCATTTTCATCATATCACATTAGAGGTATGTATTATCAGCGTAATTTATCATTGTTGATGTTGACTTTGATCACCTTGCTGAGGCAGTGCCTGTTAAATTTCTCCATTGTAAAGTTAACCCCCGCCCACGCTTTTATAAATGAAAACAGGCTATTAACATTCTTTCATCTTCTGCATTTGCCCAACATATATTTTTAATTTTAAACATTCTTTACTCAGCGTGGATAAGTATCCATGTTGTTGTAAGTATCTGTATTAATGCAAATGAACTAACTAAATAATATTTTGTGTCTGAATTTATAATGTATTTACTCATTCTGTTGCTGGTGGACATTTTTGGCTGTTACGTTTATTCAGTAGCCAAGGTGACATTTTAAAAATATAAATCAAATTATATCTTATCCTTTCTTAAAACCATCCATTGGTTTTCCATTGAACTACAAGTAAAATCCAAACTTTTTTGACCTGTAAGAACTTGCTTGGTACTTACCCAGCTTACCTTTCCAACTTAATTGCGTCTCTTGCCACTCTCTGTTAGCTTTGTAAAATACTAGTCACGTGGGCCTGCCTGCAGTTCCTGGAACATGCCAAGCTTTTTTTGGGCACGTGTACATGTTGTTCCTTTAACCTGGAAAGTTCTTCCCTTAGTTCTTCACATGGCTGGCACCTTTTCACTTTTTAGCCTATCTTACGTAGTCACTTACTCACTGAGTTTTTCTCTTTGAAAGATTGTGGAGTGTTAAGAATATTTTACTATATAGTTTTCATTTTTAGTGTATGTTTTTGTAAGTGTAGAGTTTCAGAAAGTTTGAATTTTTGTGCTTCAGAAATAGATTACTTTGTTTTGATTGAAACTTGGAATGAGAATGATTGACAGAGAAAGAATATATTTCTGAAAATAAAACCACATATAATCAAAATTGTTAAAAAATTTACATGAAACAAAGAATGTACATCGTCTTTGCTTTAGACTGTATTTTTATAGGCCGAAGTGTCAGGAGATGCTCTCAATTTACTGTTGATTTTTCTTAGATCACTTATTTTACCTTGTACTTTGTGATTAAATAAAAAGAATGGAATTAACTTTTTAAGTGTGAAAGTCATTAATACCTTATTACGACAGTTTAATCAATTTAGATTGAGTGCCAATTTTGACTGTCATTTGTCGGTGAGTACAAAGATATACAGGCAGGCCCCGGATTATTAACGAGATCCATTCCTAACTGAATTTTTAAATTGAATTTGTAGATTTAAGTTGGAACAGATGCAAACGGTTCTTATAGGGTCTCTGTGAGTCGGAATCAACTGATACCAATGGGTTTGCTTTTTGGTTTTAGTGCAAGAACAGGCTCGAAGCCTTTTCAGTGATTTAAAAGCTGCAGGTGCTACAAGTGAGGGTGATTGTGATGAAGAATTTGTTGTGAATGGGTTGGTTCAGTTGTTTCAAAGTGATGACAAATTTACATAATATTAAATGGCAAGTACCAGTTGTCTGTAAGTCAGATGTTCCTAACCAAGGACTGCCTGTAAGTAAGATTTGGGTTACGTGCAGTGAATTCACAATGAAGTTCTAGAGGGTTGGACTTAAATATAACAAAATGCAATTATTTTAATAAAACTTTTAGTATAGTAAATGCTCTCACACAGTTGGATTTTTCATACCTATATTTTAATGACATTCATAGCCCTGTGGCAGTGTCTTCTTTTTCCCCTTTACTAGTCTTCTTGAGTATGGAGTGCAAGGACTATGTCTTAGTGATTTTCTTGTAGTGTGAGCATTTGTAGGGTACTTTTTTTTCCTGTTCTTTTTAAATATTTTATTGCGTTTTAGGTGGGAGTTTATACAGCAAATTAGGTTCCCATTTAATCATTTTTATACGTATTGTTCCATGAATTCGTTACATTTTTCATGATGTGTCAACATTCTCATTATTTCCATTCTGTTTGTTCTGTTTCCACTAGTCTTGCTTCCCTGCCCCTCCTTAGCTTCTCGTCTTTGTTTTAGGGTAAACGTTGACCGATTGGTCTCATATGGTTGATTATTTAAAGGAGCACAGTACTCATGGCTGATACTGTTTATTTTATAAATCTGTCTGTTATTTGGATGAAAGGTGACCACTGGGAGTGGCTTCAGCTGCAGGTTCAAAGGATATCTTAGGATGTAGTCTCAGGAGTTCCTCTAGCCTCTGTTGATCCAGTAAGTCTGGCCTTTCTTAGGAATTTGAGTTTCGTTTTACATTTTTCTCCCTTTCTGTCCAGGACCTTCTATTCTGTCCCTGGTCAGAAAGATCGGTGATGGTAGCCAGGCACCATTTGGTTCTTCTGGTCTCAGGA